GAAAAAGTGATTCTACAGCATGACAACGCTCGGCCTCACGTTGCAAAACCCGTTAAAACCTATCTGCAAACGCTGAAATGGGAAGTCCTACCCCACCCGCCATATTCTCCAGATATTGCGCCGTCCGATTATCATTTGTTCCGTTCAATAGCACATGGTCTGGCTGACCAGCAGTTCGACTCATATGAAGACATCAAAAAATGGCTTGATTCGTGGATAGTCTCAAAAGATGAACAGTTTTACCGTAACGGTATTCGAGCTCTGCCAGAAAGATGGGAAAAAGTAGTAGCTAGCGATGGGCAATACTTTCAATGATTCATTTGTAACCATTTTTTCACAATCAAGTTGCATTTTCATCAAAATAACAGCGAGAACTTAGTTGCGCACCTATGTACATACACCGCCATATTAGAAATAGCAAGTTTGGTTGGTTCAGATTGGCTCGAGAAGAATGGTATATACTAGTTCTGGGATTTACTTGCATATTTCGATCGATTTTCAGCTTGGTTCCTGCCCCTTCATCAATCCGCGCGGGTTGATGAAGTAAGGGGCAAGAACTAAGCTGAAATCAGCCGAAATATGCAAGTAAATCTTAGCACTGGTATACATATATCATTCTTCTTGAGCCAACCTGAACTAACCGAACTTTTTATTTCCAATATGGCGGTGCACACATATAAGATTTAGGCCGGTATTCATAGTCAGATCTTAAATTTAAAGGCGCAGTTACAATAGGAATTCGTAACCGTAACGTAACCATAAGAAATCCGTAGATCACCGTGGGAGGCGCTTCCGTTAAGAGTTCAATTTTTTGAACTCTTACGGTTACGTTAACGAAAGTTAGGTTAGAGATTAGGCGTTTTCTAGCAAGGACAGTGTAACACAGTGAATCATTTCATCCATGATCCATCCAACGATTTCATCGTTTAACGAGCGAAGAACTGAGTTCTATTTTCTACAGAGCGAAATTGCAATAATGCTTTACGAATCGGATCGAATTTTAATCGATTTGGTTGAAAGATTTGGAAGAAGTGTGGTCATTTATATGATAAAAGCCGTCCTGATTATAAAGATCGTATTAAAACACGGAATTCATGGCAGAGCATTGCAGAAGCAATGAATTCAACAGATGTGTATAAATTGTCATTATTATTTATTTTTTAACGTAATTGAAGAACAAAAGTATTGTGACCATTGTACTGTACAGTAAATGACTGCCAATGCCGATGGAATCAACTGCGCAATCGTTTCACACGAGAACGAAGAACACTGAAAGCAGGTCTTCCATCAAGATCAGAATCCTCGAAAGCGGAAAGTCCTAGTGCTTTATTTCAAGCTCTGCAATTCCTGGACTCACACATTCGAATCAGAAAGTACGTAATATAAGATTTTAATCTTACGATAAAGCTTTCTTAGCTGAATTTCATTTCATTTGTAATGAAATTAAAACAGTTGTTCCTAATTTCAGAACACGTGGAAATATCTTAAAGAGGAACCTGTCGCCATCGGAAGATTTTGACAACAGCCTTTCTAACATCGATAAGTGGGATGTGTTGCAGTCTGATAATATCGATGTTGTAGAATACATAAAACGTACGAAACAGAAAGTAAATCTTCAAGTTAAGATGAAAGAATTGGAAGGAGACTTTTCTAAAGTAAAAGAGGAATCTGAACAAGAAAATGACGTAAACCTATCGAATGTAAAGGCCTCATTTCTTGAATTGAAACAGCCCGGTCTTTGGAAAAAACAAAAGAAAAGCCGCTAATGATGATAATGACGCTATTCAAGTAGTTTCCAAAGCCTTGCAAAGTGTCAAAGGATTGTGCAAATCTGTCGACAAGGCGGATGATGTTTCATACAACTTTTGCATGACTACATATAGTCAATTAAAACACATGTCAAAAAGAAAACAAAAAATCGTTCGAAGTCGAATTAATGCTATAATGCTAGAATTAGAATCTGACTCCAATTAATAAGTTTGTTGTTTTAATTATTGTACTGTAAGAAGTGCAATTTTGTTTTTTACTCGACTTTTAAGTTATATTTTATGACACGTATAAATGTGATTTTGATCCAAAGACTTAGAAGTTTATTTTTGTTTTGTTTTGTTTTATGAAAGCTATTACTTTGTTAAGTAAGCTGTCACATTATAGTGAATAAATGTAAGAGCATTTTATTTATATTACTGCGAAATGATATAATTATACGTTAAACTTAATAGCGTTGTTTGGAAATGTTTAAGTGTAATAGTTAATAACCGAGATAAAGACTTACAAATCTGTTGTGAAAAATAAATTCTTTATTTTTGAAATATATAATTATAGTTTATTAATAAATACACAATGTTTCAGACAATAAAATGCAATTATTTTATGATTGCAAAAAAATTCAATATTATGTAAATACACTTAAAAGAAAAATTGGGAAGTAATTAAAGACTACTTTCCGAAAAAAAAAAAATAGATGTTGATATTGGCTATTAGGTAGCCAATAAAATCTCATTACTGCTCGTCAGAAAAGTTGAAGTCTGCATGATAGTGAGCAGCGAAAATACTCAATCTCATGATTTTCTGGGCGTAATAAAAAAAAAACTCGATTGACTTGCATACAAAAGGAATACACCATATTTACTATTCTTTGCAAGTGAGATCGGTACACTTCGCAGTTGTCTCATGATCTCTGAAGAAGCTACGTTGTACTTTTTTCTGAAATGAGAAGTTATGAAAATTTATTGAAACTTCCAAAGACTTACTAGACTTTTTACTTAAATGTGTATGTAAATATATTATGTAAATTTATTTACATTAGTCTTGAGAAAATATTCGAATCATGCTCAGCGTTGTAGAACAATTTTCAGGAGTCTCTTGTCACTGTAAATCTTCCTGTAATATAAACTTCTTGCCACGAAACTGCGCCTTCTGGTGAATATAAATAATCAGCAAGAGGGTAAACCTTCGGATGAACTGCATACTCGAAATCATACAAACGACCACGTGTTTTTGATGTATTTTTGGCTCCTGAAAAGGAATATGGCAG